TGAGTGGCTGACAGGGAGTGGGAGTGTGTCTCCGGTGACTGTGGAAGAAACTGGGGAAAGGCACAGTCTGGCTGGGCCTTCAGAGGAAGACCCAGGGCCATCCTCTCTTCATCCTAGGGTATGCAGGGAGGAATGGAGAAGGAAGCAACATGGCTTACAGGAGAGGAAAAGGCCCTGATCCCTTTCATTAGTTGCAGCTGGGAGAACAGGATATAAGTGGGGCGTTTGCACACAGCTCTTTGCTGGAAGCAAAGCCTGCATTATCTTTGTCAAGGCTTATCTGGGTTTTGGCGTCCTCCCAACTGTGGGTGCTGCGTTAGTCTTTGAAAGTCTGCAATTTATCATCCTGGCCTGCCGTGTTAATTACTTCAGTGTGGTTTGTGTTGGGTTTTTTTAATTTCGAATTATCGTTCAGACTGCATTTTTGCCCTTCATAGACCATTTTTTGAAGAATTTGATATCCAGCCGAGGATAATTGGACACTGGGGCCCAAGTTGGAGGCATTAAAGGGAATTTATTCTACTTTGGTGACTTTGTTATTTTTGTGTCATGCCCCGAGTCATCACAGATCTTCTGAAGCTATGTCTGGTTTGGGAGTAGCAATGCAGAAGGTGATCATAATGTCCATCCCATAATTTTTACACATCACACCTCTACTGTCAGGTGTTATTGAGCTGCAAAAATCCAGATGACCAATAGAGTTGATAGCAGATGGTGAAAAAAAAACCACTACTATTTCTTTGTTGGTATCTAGCATCTTGGTGGATTTTTGTAGAGCAGACATGGCAGTTCTGTGACATTTGATCAAGTTTGTTCAAGATGTGGAATAAGGAGTGGGCATTAAAAGGAGCCTAGTGGGCTCCAAGTTAGCTTCCTCCTCTGCCTTCAATACACACATGTGCACACACACACAGAGAGAGACAAAACCACATATATGGCACCAATGGCATCTTTTAGAATTCTGCCTTCTAGAAATTTATGAAAATGCCATTTCAGGTTGCTTTTCAGAAAATCACTCTGAACCTTAAATAATTGAATTTTAGCTCCAGGTATATATTAATTTAGAAATACCAGAGTGTCCCCTCATCTAAAGATTCAAGGATGGCTTACAATTCATGAAAATATTAGGTTGGATAAATGTACAATGGTGGCTCTTTTATTCCGATGCTCCAGTTTGTATGAACAAGCTTGCATTGAAAAAGGAAATTTGGGAAGCTAATCAGTGGCATTTTAAATTATTATTATTATTACTATCTTGCCATTTATGATCCATGCTTCTTGACGAGATCTGTCACCACCTTCCACAAGAGGCTACAGGGGTTAGTATATTCATATGTTCAAATTATGCTGTAACATGAATGATAATTTAAAATGCAGTTGGATAAAATTGTATAAGGGATCTTCTTAAATCCTATCCAGTAAGGTACAAATGCTTAACAGAGTAGGCTTGAAATAACAGATCCTGAAAAACTAGAATTTTGCATTGGATAAGCAGATGGCTTAGAAAGTTATGAAGATAATACTGCCAGTTTGTAGCACTTTCGACACAATATGATACCTATATGTGCCCTTTTTAAAAATATGCTTGTCATTAATGAGAACATTTGTCTTGAGAGCAGCAAAAGTCATCTTAGACTGTTTAATTAAGTTGCACCACTAGTGTGAGGTGCAAAAGGAAAGCAAATAAACATCATACACAAATTCATCACAAATTTCAAATACATAGTTCAGTAATTATTTAACGGTGAATCCGCAAGCCAGCCTGGGGGAACCAGCTTCTTTTTAAGTTTAAGGGATGCCGTGGCTTGGTGGCTAAGCTGCTGAGCTTGTTGAACAGAAAGGTCAGCAGTTTGGCGGTTCAAATCCCTAGCGCTATGCAACAGAGTAAGCTCCTGTTCCTTGTCCCAGCTTCTGCCAACCTAGCAGTTCGAAAGCATGTAAAAAATGCAAGTAGAAAAATAGGGACCCCTTTGGTGGGAAGGTAACAGTGTTACAGGTGCCTTCGGCATTTAGTCATGCCAGCCACTTGACCACGGAGACATCTTCGGACAGCACTGGCTGTCTTCGACTTTATAACGGAGATGAGCACCACCCCCTAGAGCCAGAAACAACTAGCACATATGTGCAAGGGGAACTTTTACCTTTACCGTACCTGTTTATTCTAGAGTCCAGTGATAATCTGTCCTCCTGGGAAGAGATGTCCACCTTTAATCAAACTGTTGGACTGAACCACGATTTTTCTCCATGCAGAAAATCTCTCTCCCTTTCTGCCTTGAGGAAAATAGAAAAGAGGAAATTAAGGAATTGTTTCCTAGTTGTTTTCTGCAGGTAGAAAGAAACCTTTTCAATAGAGGTTTTGAGTACTGAGAAGGGTCAAGGAGGATGAGAAGCAATGATGAATGGAAAGGATCAAGAATGATGGAGTAGAAAGTTGCAGGTTAAAGCGGGAAGAGATTGGAGACTTCTGATGCTGTTAAAACAAACTTTCAGTGTAGGGCTTAAAACAGAAATTACTTTAAAAGATTTAAAACATAAAGCACCATATTAACAAGCAGCAAAACGAAAAGCAAATTTAAAGGCATATCTTACCACTCTGGCAACCAATATATTAAAAATCCCATGTTTACCTAAAAATTAGCTCCTGTGATATTTAATCAGACTTAATTCCAGATACATCTTTTAACTACAATCTGAACAATGTACTAATAAGGCACCCCAATCCATCTAAAAGCCACAACATGATTTCTAGTTACTGTGTTGTGATGCAGCTAGTTTTCTCAACTGCTAAAAATATTCCTAGAGTTCAAATCCTGAATAAATCTCAGCTCCATATGCAAATTGTCGTGGGAATGTAGCCTGGCTGTTTTCATCATTTTTTTTAAACACATGGAAACGTATTGCTCTTAAGATCGATTTCATCAGACTTCATCTTACCTTGTGCAATTTTGAAAACAGAAAATGATTTTGTGTCACAGTGAATGTTGGCCCCTATTCTATAAAGAGAGTTCAATCTCTTGTATCAGTGGTATATTCTGCTACAAGTAGGCATGGAAGACAAAACCATTTCAAGACATTTGTTTTGTTTTATGTCTACGGAGATTCTCAGTCATCGTTGTCCCAAAGGTGCTTTTTCAAGAGGCAACGGGACGTCCTCGTTTTTTCTTTCTCTCATCTTGGTTTTTCACTTCTCATCCAAGAAGCTTCTTCAGTTCTGACTGGTTGGCGAGGAATGGAAGGATTTATATTCCTTGCAGACAGCTGCTCATTTGCATCCTTTTGGTGGGTCGTTGAGGCCACTTGGAGGTTTGTCTGTGTCATCTGAGTGGTGCTGATGGAGCCTTCTTGGAACTGCTGAAAGGATTGTATTGTAGACTGGAGATGGATGATGACGTATCCCTCCCACTCTGTTGAGAAGGGGCTGTTCAATTTTGACACAGATGGCCTCTTTGATCCGCTCTTTCAAACCAGCAGTCCTCCCTGTCCAAAATGTGGATGTTGCGGTCTTCAAAAGAGTGACCCTTGTCTTTGAAATGCAGGTGGACTGCTGAATCTTGTCCTGGTGGGTTTGTTCTCCTGTGTTGTGCTATGCTTTTATGATTATTGTTTTCTGTATTTTCTTCTATAGCATTTTAAAAATCTTGGATTCATATTCTCTCTCTCTCTCTCTCTCTCTCTCTCCTTGCAGCATATGAATGATATAGTTCATACATAGATAAAGATAGAGCTTGCCCAAAATTGTCACAAGGTTGCCAAGCGCTGTTTGCTTTGATTTAAGGTCTCATTTGACCACCCTGAAAGTGGGTAATGGTGCTGTTGCAGACTGCAATCTGTACTGAAACTCAAGCCTGCTGTTAGCTTCACTAGTGCTTTATTCTTGCGTTGCTGTTATTTTTTAACACTTTTTTTGTGCATTAAAGCACTATCCTCTCCCCAGAGTCTGCCTGCAGTGAAGACATGGTCTGTACAACTGCAATTATTTAGAAGAACAGATGGAGTGAGGAGCAGAAAGTCTGTTAATAGTAATATAAGTGCTACATGTTAACCTGGACAGCACATGATGACAGTCCCATGACTACACGTTCTGTTCTCACCAGCTGGGCACCAACGCAGAAGTGAGAGATTCATAACCATAGCAAAACCAAGAACCCACCTAAGTTAGAAATGAAATTCCACACTTTCTGGTCTCAGTTTGTTCCCCCACCTCCCAAATAAAAGAACCACATGGTCATTTCAAAATATTTTCGTATTTAAGGTGAGGTGTTAAAAATTTCATCATGGTTGGCAGGACAGAAGCGAGGCATGAATGCTTCCATACTGGAAGCATGGACTAGTAAGGGGAATACGAGAAACATGACTGTGCTTCTGTAATATCAGTTCTGGAGCTCTGGTATCACGCCCTTTTCGTGGAAAAATGCACATGGAATTGGAGGCAGCTCCTACGAGCATGAGGAAAGTAGAAGCTTGAACAGATGGGAAAATGTCCCAGTGTTAATTGAAATCAGGGACTGGATTCCTAAGTTTAGGGACTTGCAGCACAATTCTTCTATCAATATATGTTCTTACTAAAAACTGGGCTGTCTGAGGATGAGCTGTTGAAACAAAGCTCTGAAGGGCAAATAAATTCCGTTGTAGTGAAGGACGAGGCTACAAGTTGATTCAAACTGATAGCATAAAAATAATTAAACTAAGATCAGTCACTTCTTGTTGCAACAGAATAGAGCTGGAAGGGACCTTGGAGGTTTTCTAATCCAACCCCCTGCTCAAACAGGAGACCCTACACCATTTCAGTTAGGGGGTTCTCCAGTCTTTTCTTTAAAAACCTCCAGTGGAGAAGAACCTACAACTTCTGGTGGCCAGCTGTTCCACTGGTTAATTATCCTCCCTGTTCGGAAGTTTCTCCTTAATTCCAGGTTGCTTCTCTCCTTGATTAGTTTCCATCCATTGTTTCTTGTCCTGCCTTCTGGTGCTTTGGAAAATAAGTTGAGCCCCCCCCCCTTCTTTGTGGCAGCCCCTCAAATACTGGAATACTGCTATCATACCCCTCCCCAGTCCTTTTCTTCTCTAGGTTGGACATATCCAGTTCTTCCAACCATTCTTCATATGTTTTTGTCTCCAGGCCTTTAATCATCTTAATTGCTCTTCTTCACACTTTTTCCAAAGTCGTAACCTCTTTTTTGTAATGTGGTGACCAAAACTGGATGCAGTATTCCAGGTGCGGTCTTACTAAGGATTTATAATACTAATCCTTCATGCGATTTTGATTATATGCCTCTGTTTATACAACCAAGGATTGTATTAGCTTTTTTGGCTATGGCCGCACACCGCTGGCTCATGTTTAAGTGACTCCAAAGTCCCTCTCAGTTACTGTTTTTGACCCAGGTTTTGCCTAATCTGTACTTGTAGCTTTGTTTTTTCCTGCCCAGGTGTAAAACCTTGATTTCCTCCACATTAAATTTCATATTGTTGGATAGGGCCCATTGTTCAAGTCTGTCCAGATCTTTTTGGATCCTTGGCTTGTCTTCTGGGGTGTTGGCTATTCCTGACAGTTTAGTGTAATCTGAAAATTTGATGAGTTCCCTTTCTATTCCCTCATCTAAATCACTGATTAAAATATTGAACAGTACTGGATCTTAGATGGAACCTTGTGGTACCCCACTGCTTCCTTCCTTCCGTGTAGATATAGTACCAGGAATAAGTATGGTGATTAGCCAAATGTGTCAGTTTTGAAATCACATATTTTAAACTTCTTGGAACAAATAAGTATAAAATAAACAGAACAACATTTTAATTGGTTTTTAAAGAAATAAATTATCTTCTCTGGATCAAACAAGGCCATTTTAGTGCAGCTATTTATTTTCCACAATGCCCAAACAGATGTCTCTAGGAGATAAAGATAGATCCATCTTCTTCCAGTGATCCCCGTTAGTTCATATTTGGAGGGAAAATTAGCCAAATCAGAAGTAATATTGGATTCAGTCTAATAGTTGGTGCTGATAGATCTGTTCTCTGTGAATGTCTCCAATTCCTTTTTGGGTCATATCATAGAATAATGCATTTCCCAACTAAATTAAACGCTGTGTGAAAAAGTATTTTCTTTCATTGTTCTAGATTATCTTCCAGTCAGCTTCACTGCTTCTAATTCTGATGTTTTGATGGGGGAAAAAAGATTGTGTTTTTTTTTTCAGTTTCCTGGCCATTCTCCACGCCATTTTCTCCAGTTCCCCTTTTATTTTCTCTCCAACCCAATGTCTTCCCAATGTTGTATATAAAGTAACTTGGGACCTCTGTTTGTGTTTTCTTTCATCAGTAGGATTACTCTCCAAAACCAAATAGAATGAGAGCAAATTTTTAGTAGGTGAGAGATGCTGGCAAAGAAAGACTGGATCCAGCTAGGCGAAAAACATTACAGGAAAAACGTTCTTATGCTTTCCTCTGGGAGAGACAATTGAGCAGTGAATGCTGTCCAGTTCTAAACCACCCTGACTCCTGATCGTATGACAAGAACTGGAGCAAATACAGCCCACTCTGTGTTTCCTGAGGTAAACCACATAACAAAAACAAAATAAAGGGAGGACAGAAGCAGATACTCAACTTACAATCACAATTTAACCCCAAATTTCCATTGCTAAGAAAGGCAGCTGTTCAGTGAGTGTTGCCCCAACTTACGATCTTCCTTGCCCCAGTTGTCAACGTGATGCACTACCATTGTTAAATTAGTAACACAGCTATTACTTGAACTAGACTTCCGCATTGACTGTCAGCCTTGGGAGCCATTTTTTACTTGGAAGCTTCAAGGCTGCCACATTCGGTGCCTGGGAATTTGGATGGGGAGATTTCATAGTGAGGTAGAAGATTAGACACAACAACATTCTTTCTCAGAGAGTCAAGGACATGTCACCCTGCACCTGGAGGGGAGTAACTGGAGGGATGTCTCCATTGGGGAAAGAAGATTTGATTGGGCCATGTGATGGATTGATGGATGCAGGGGAGGGATGTCTCCAGCTAGGACAAAGATTTGATTGGACCACGTGTTGGACTGACAGGTGCAGGGGATGGATCTTTGATTCTCTTTTGGGAAGGGGAAAACCCAGAGCTCTCAGATTCAGGTTTTCCCAGATGTGCCAATATGACTTCTCTAAATAAATTCTTACTCGGATGAACTTTTTCTCTGGGTGCTGAATGGAGATGGAGAGTTTAGTTGGAAGGCTGACATTGACTTTGCTCTTCAGAAGGTCACAAAAGGGGATTTACCTGACCCCAGGTCGTTGCAACTGTGGGATGTAAGATCCGAATTATTTAATACTCCCAATACAGAGACAGGTCTGGTTCACAATTCAAAGGCTTATTAAAGAAAATAAGCATTTGCAAACGGGCTTTCAAGTCCCTTCCAAAGTGGATTGGGCACAAGAAGAGCAAGATCTAATGGTCAAAGAATACATTTTATACACTCTACACAATGCACACCATGCCTAAGAAGCCCTCCCCACTCCCCTTATTATCTCTAAGTCATACTATAAGGTAAAGGGTCGGCTTGACCGTTTCTTCCTAGGCACCAGATATCTTAGCTTGTTTTCTTGTAACTTCGCCTTGGGCGGATGTTCCTGTTTTCTAAGAAGCCTGCAACTATCCAGCAAGCTTTGTTTAACTGAACATACTTTGTGGTTAGGATACAGCAATAAAGACAACACAGTTTAAAGTCAAGGATTACCTGTACAGGGAAGGATAATGTATTGTTAACGCAAAAGAAAAGCAGACAGCTCCTATACATACTGCCAATAAAGGGATAGGGAAGCATTACAGAATCTCTACTCTTCATGCTTTCCCAACCTTATTCATTCTTACTAAAACAACATTGTGTTGGAAAGAAAAAAGGTAAATAAACTGGAGACTCTGACCAATTATCTCTCCATGAGCAAAGTATGGCTACTGGAACTGTACATACACTTCTAAGAAGGAGTGGGATTCACATTTTTTAACAACCGGTTCGGTGGGTGTGGCTTAGTTGGTGCCCATGGCTCGGTGGGCATGTGACCGGGTGGATGTGGCTTGGTGGTCATGTTATTGGCCAACTCAATATCACTCACATCGAGACATGCATCTCCTCGCCTGGCCTCTCATGACTGTGGGGATGCTGCAACGGTTGTAAGTGTGAAAAATGGTCATAAGTCACTTTTTTCAGTGCCATTGTGACTTTGAGTGGTCACTCCACACAAGCAAAGTACCAGCAAAGGAGGGAAAAAAACTCCAGAAACGTTCCTGAGACAGGAAGTCTAGTCCTGCCAAGAATGTAATAAGGGTTAACGGAGAGGCAGTTTCTGTAAGCAACACCAGAATGTTTCCTTCCTGTCTTCCTTACAGGATTAGGCCAGTAATTTCTTCTAACAACCAGTTTTCCAAACTGCTTAGAATGTTAACAATGGGTTCTAGCGAATAGGTGCGAACTGGTAGAAACCCACCCCTGCTTCTAGGTACAAATATACCATAAATTTTCACTAAGGTATTAACAGTTTCAGCATTTCTTGGGATGGGATTTGTCTTTTTCAACTTCATTCAATCAACTGCTATGATTCTTTTTTTTTTCCCCTAGCTAGTTACTAGGAATTGAAAACTGCTGAAAATTTTACTTATGAATGATTTGTTTTGTTTAAGTGTATTTTTAAGCAGTACAATCTCAATGGATGAAGGATTCCTTAATATATTTTAAAAAACTTAAAAACACTTAAAAATAAACTTACAGTGCATGCAAAGAAGGAAATAGAAAAGCAATAGGCATTCACACTAGCTTAAAACAAAGACAGTTAATTCAAAAATAATGTAAATTGTTTCAACCTCTATAATTCCAAAGCCATAATATTAAGTATTCTGGTCATCTGTGCAATATGTGTTTCTCACTTTAGGCACGTATTTTATTTTAACCTCCTCCCATGATGCATGGTGAAAAATCACATCGTTTGTGCGCTGGCCAAAAGCCAATATTAAACTAAGCCAGAAATGGCAAACTCCTTAGAAAAGTAAATATTCCAGTCTAAATGTTACTGTGTTTTAACTCACATTTTATTTAACAGCATTCACATTAGTTGAATGAAACACTTGCCTGAAAGTTGTTCTGAGCCAATGGAATGAATCAAAGTGGGGAATTCATAAAAACCTGGCATTGTAATTCTCCTTCTCTCTTGTTACTCATTTAATTCCTATGTAGATCAGTTTCCTACTACTGGCCGTCTATTATAAATTAGTATTTAAAGTTCTAGACAGCATTAAGAGGGTAAAAACTTGTTATAAGTAAAGACCTCTGAAAATAACCTATTGTACAGGAAATGCTTTTTAAATAACTTCTGTTGTTGTTGTTGGCAGTTATCACTTCACTTCTTACATATTTGTCTGTATTAACTGTATAATACTATGGAAGCCATGTATAAACTTGTTAAGACTCACTAAAAACTGTTTTATTCATTGGCAACTCAGATGAAGTATTTGGTACAGCAGTTGGTATTAAACCTAGAATTTTTAGACAGTTGGATGTCATGTTTTTGCTTCTTACTGAATTTCTAAATTAGAGTTAGCATTTTCATCCCACATATATTTTAGCACTTGGTGAATAAGAATGAAATGCCTAATATTTACAAGCTTATTAATTAGGATTGGGCCCATTGAGTTAAGTAACATTCATTAAAGAGGAAATAAACTTTGCTTGGATTTAAAAATAAACTTTTATCCACTTCTTTATTTCAAAACATTTGGCTAGCAATTGAATTAAAATTAAAATACAACCAGCATTTAATCACAATACACATTTAAAACGTATGCATTTGAAACACCAATAAAAAGTGAAAAACAAACTGAAAAGGCCAGGGGAAAAAATCCTAGTCCTCACTTTAGCTCTGAAAATGTAAAATGCTGAGATTGGGTGATTATCAGGCAGTACAGAAGTCTCCGAAATTGGACCGGCCATCAGAAATACTCACTTTTATATTGGTATTAACCTGACTTCAACTTGGGAAGAGCCATGTGAGACTAGGTATCATCTGAAAGCAAATTGGTAACTGGTGCAGCTAGAACATGAGTGCTGTTATATACTTTGATTTATCTTTAAGAGACAATCAAAACCTTAGATGCTTTACTTTGGGCTAACTGTACTTTACAAAAATGGTAGAGTATTTTAACTGGATGGTCCCAAGGGTGTGAATCACTCAGGAGAGGTAGAATAGTTTTGGTTAATACACCAGCTAAAGCTTGAGGTATAGTGCTGGGATAGACACCTGCATATCAAGTAATAAAGCCCTCCCTGATAGCACCACTGCTTTTAGATATTGGTCTAGGAAAGGGATGTCAAACTCTCAGTCCAGATGTATCACACACTGGCCAAGGGGGGAAAAGTCCCAATACGTCACGTGACACTGCTGTGACAGTGTGAGTTTGACACCCCTAGTCTAGGACATCCACAGTTAGCTTAACCGAGGCTGGAAGTGAAATATTATATATATAAAACCATGTATCATGTAGAGGCTGATGACAGTTCACCTTGACTTTTTTTTATGAACCCCCTTGGCAACTTCATATAAATAGTGAATATCATATGAAGAAAAATGGATCCTTAAGGGATGTTATAGAGCAAGGGCCTTCAAATCTGGCAAGTTTAAGACTTGTGGACTTCAACTCCCAGAATTCTTGAGTTAACGCGACTGCAGGAGGAATTCTGAGAGTTGAAGTCCACAAGTCTTAAAGCTGTCAAGATTGAAGAGCCCTGTTATAGAATCATGTCCATGAATTCAAAGATGTGCAACAGCCCTAAGAGACTGGAACTGATTGTCAGTATTCTGATTATGCTTAGATTTTTTTTTTTCTACTAGCTTGAGTATCTCTAGACTACAGGGGACTAAATATCAGAAAGCAAATGTTGACCAAAAACAAAACAAAACAGAGTGGTTATTATTAACACCAGGAATGTCAACAATAAATGTTACATGAGTTGTACTGGGTCATGGAATTTAGGACTTTAAGTCCAGGGGTGATGCTGAATAGACATAGATAAATTTTACAGGAAAAAGAATCTTTCATAAGTCTTGGCTGATAAGGTGCATCTCTTCCTGACAGACTGGATTATGTTAATACATCTTTCAAGGAACGATTCCTGAAAATAATCTGAAAATTATAGTTAGAGCAGGTCTGTCAAACTCCCAGCCCATGGGCCAGATGTGTCATGCGCTGGCCACACCCACCCCGATTTAGCAAAAGGGGAAAAGTCCCAATATGTCACATGACATCACTTTGACACCCCTGAGTTAGAGCATCCATCTAGAATCCATCTTGCATTATAACTATGTATTTCTATCTGAAGAGCGAAAGCGTAAGGAGAGTTTGCAGAAGAAAAATAGATCACAAAATAGAATGGCCAGTCATTCTGAGCCATACCCAGGTTCCTCAAGCAAATTAATCAAGCCAATGAACAGATGAAATTGTTGAATGATCTAAGATTAAGGCACATATTTCAGGAGAAATCCTGAATAGCAAGCTTGCTTCAGTCTGCCAGGCTGAGTGTCTCATCCCAGATGTTTGATTAGTCAGCCTGGACAATCCTCCTCCTGTCACCTCTGAGCCTTATTTCGCTCATTATTCTAGCCTTGCAATCGGAGAAGTTTCTTTTCCCTTGGGCTAGTAAGTGGAGGTTCTGTTCTCTGACTTCTGCTATTTCTTCTCCTGAAGACATATTTGGCACCTCCCAGACAAATGACCATGATTCCAGCCTCCCACAGGAGATCTTGAATCGGTATCACCTCCTCCTTATCAGAAACCTCTTCAGAAAGCAATCCTCACCATAATTGGTGACTGAGGTCTCTTGAAGGTCTCGTATAATTTTTCAGTTGAAGCAGCCTTACTGGATGCCTGTTGCATTCTGATGTCCATGATTATTCATGATTCATTATTACCATGGTGTTTTTTACGCTTGAACGCCTACTCTACATTCCACCCTATACTTTTATGTCACTAACAGGGCGTGTTTCATGGGACCCCACACCGAATATGATTGACATCAAGAATTAATTCTGGTTTCTACTGGGACCAGTGCTATGGATCAAAATGTCACCAACGTTGGAAGCAAGTTCACTTCTCATTACAATTCAAAGCACAGATCATCAAATCAGAATGACCAGAATCTCCTGTACTTCCAAATACTAATTTTCTTTTCTTTTATCTGTGAGATACTTTGAATTTAGATATTATATGTATCCATAGCAAGTAATATCTATTTCTTTGGGTTCTGTGAGAACTGTCTTTTTGTAAATTTCTACCGCTGCACAAACAGGGAATTGAAAGTCTGTTGCCATAGATGACTTGATGGATAATAGGTGTTTGGTTTAGAATGTTCCCTTTTAACTTGCTAAATAACAAACTCCTTAAGACTGATTTTCAAATATTATTTTACAGAATAAGAAGTATGTTCTCATCATGGTTGATCCAGATGCTCCTAGCAGATCTAATCCAATGTATCGCTTCTGGAGACATTGGGCTGTGACTGACATCAGCGTGAGTACCGTGAATATTTGATATTTCTTTCTTGATATGTTTATTACATATTTTGTGAGATTAATGGCTGTTTTCTCCTTCATATTTTATTCCCTCTCACATGAGTGATTCTTTTGGTTCAAAGTGTCAGGCTCTTCTTGTCAGACACAGCTTGACTAAATTATTACTGTAACTCAAGAACAGTCCTTATAAAATGTTTGACACCTCTAAGCAGTTAGGATTCCTCCTGGTTCAAAGAAGTGCCGTCTGTCCTACCTTTGAACCGTAGAATTTTGACTTTCCTTTTCAGTCCTTGCTTGTGGCAGCTGAGTGTTTATATTTTACACACTGCTATACTCTGCCTTAGCACTTAAAGAAACAGATTTTGAGGATTTCTGTGCTGCTGTCTTGATGCTTGGTGTATCTCAAAAAAAAAAAAAAAAACAACCCACCACTTTCAATTTCTCACAGCTGTCATTGAACACAAGTAGGTTTGAGGACTTATCATGTTAGCCCTGCCATATGAGAGAAATTGAGTGTAACCAGTGTTAACAGCCATTTCTATGGATAAAAGGAATAAGGGCAAAAATAAATGGAGTGTGTTAATTAAGAATGAGTCCCCTCCTGGCAGTTTCACTGTTAGCCCACACCCTGGGAACTGGTGGGTTTTTCTAAGTGCCAGATCAGTGAGAAATCTTTGGCTATCTAGAACTTGAACGCGGACAAAGAAACTAAGGATGCTTCATGGGAATTGAACCCAGAGAACAGAGTGAGCAGATTTGTCCCATCTACACTGCTGGAGGTTTTCAAGAAAAAGCTTGGACAACCAAGCTTTGTTTGGGATGGATTGGAATAAGGACTCCTGCTTTGGGCGGTGGGTTAAACTAGAAGGCCTCCTTTCAGCCCTATGATTCTATACCTGGCCACTTCTTTGATAGTCAGAAGGTTAGGATCAGGGCTGGGCTGCTGGGGGATCGCAGGGGTTCAGGAGAGCCCCTCGCTAAGATTCTGTGCAATTTGGAGAACCCCCCAAATCCCACTCCTGGCTGACCCCGCCTACTCCGCCTTGCCTCTCCCAGGAGTCCCCATGTGGCCCGTTTTGTATGCAGAGTTCAGGGAGGGGAAAAAACTGGCCTCCTGGAAGGTTGGGGTGGCCGGAAATGGGCCTGCTTCTGGCTTCCAGAGAGCCTCCAGAGCCCAGGGGGGCTGTTTCCTTGAGCCTCTGGAGCCCGGGTAGGGCAAAAATGGCCCCCCACTGCCGTGATGCAGGAGGCCGACTAGGCCACGCCCACCCAGCAACCGGGCAGAGAACCCTTTGCTAAAATTTTTGAAGCCCACCTCTGGTTAGGATGAATGTCTGATTATAGTCTGTTGAAGTTCATGGTCCTCAACCATCTGCTCTGTTCAGAATTCTTCTGCATATATTGTTGCAAATAATGTTCCAGGATATTTTTGCTACCTTTATGCTTGGCAGCTTTTACATCTCAACTGGTTGGATGGTAGTGAAAATACTGCTGGATTTTCCGCAGTTGTTGGTGCTTGGAGAATGTTATGTAGGGAACAGCTTGGAGCTTAATAGTTGCTTAGGCATTGCTTTCCTGCATGGATGAAACATTTAGCATATTATTTGTAATTTACTTAAACAAGTAGCCTCTTGAACATCCCATTATAATATTTCTATTACAATATTCCTCAACAGCTTCTCCTCCTCTCTAAATATTGAGAAGAGGTTGGTTGGGTAGGTTGTGCAATACAAAGGCATGAGCAGGGGTGGGATTCAAATTTTTTTAACAACCAGTTCTGTGGGCATGGCTTAGTTGATGGGTGTGGCTTGGTGGTCATGTGACTGGGTGGACATGGCTTGGAGGTCATGTTATTGGCTGGGTGTGGCCAACTCAACATCACTCACATCGAGGCACACGTCTCCTTGCCTGGCCTCTCATGACTGTGGGGATGCTGCAACAGTCGTAAGTGTGAAAAATGGTCATAAGTCACTATTTTCAGTGCCATTGTAACTTTGAGTGGTCACTCCACACAAGCAAAGTACCAGCAAAAGAGGGAAAGAAAACTCCAGAAACGTTCCTGAGACAGGAAGTCTAGTCCTGCCAAGAATATAATAAGGGTTAATGGAGAGGCAGTTTCTGCAAGCAACACCAGAATGTTTCCTTCCTGCCTTCCTTACAGGATTAGGCCAGTAATGTCTTCTAACAACCGGTTCTCCGAACTGCTTAGAATGTTAACAACCGGTTCTAGTGAATAGGTGTGAACTGGTAGAATCCCACCCCGGGCATGAGGCCAGATAAGCTAATTATAGCCGTGATGAGACTGATGCTGATTATGATGATTTTAAACTTCCCGATATGATAATATCGGATCATTTCTATCAATTTTTTTTAGATTTCTGGAAAAAGTGCTTTAGTGTACATTGGTATCCAAACTTAGGTGTTTTTGAATAGTGTTATTTTGGGGTGGATTTAGAACAGAAATATTTCTGGTCACCTTATGAAACAGTCTACATTTTGAATAAAATAAGATCATATCTCACATTTGATTCAGCTGTATCTTTCAAAAGTACCGAGATATTATCAATATGGTATCATTCTGAATATTTTAAACAAATGTTTTATAGACCTTCCCTTTAATTCCTGGATTAATAATTCAGATTGTAATATTGGGGGATTCCTGTTCAAGACCTGCTTTAATACTGTCCAATATGTACAGGAAGTTCCCGGGAGAGGTCTTTCTTACCACTTTATCTAATGTCATGGTTACTCTTCTTTTTATCTAAAACCAGTGAAGCTATTCGGATTCTGAAATGTGCTTGTGGCAGGAATGGGTTGGGTACAGGCTCAGGCATTCTGACATAAAATGGGAGATCACATTTGGAATATTCTATTATTATTTTAATAATTGTATCCCACTTTATCATTGTTTCAAAAATACTCATAAACACCTGGTTTTAACTCTCAGGAGTAATTGTGCATTTCCCAGTTTAGACGAAGATATCAATTGCATCTGTTCCTAATGAGATCAGATCTGATTAAGGAAGTAGATGCCGTTGCAGGTAGCTTTGTTTATTTAAAGGACTTAAGAAATTCAGTTGGCCCAGAATATAGCAGTAAGAGTGGCAATCATTGTAAATATGCCTTATGAAAGTTTAAAAGGTTAGTCATCAATTTCCAAATACAGTTCAAAATATTTGTGATTTTCTTAGCTGTTGGAAACTGATTTATATGTAAGAGTGGAAGGAATGGTATATAAATCCAACAAAATTAAGATTGCCTTGATTAAGTATACAAATTAGAATGTACTATATGTATGTATATGATGCCGGAGTATACATAGGATATCCTTTGGGTAACATTGCTAGAGTCTTGGCTGATCAACATATTAAATGATCAATGTTACCCAAAGGATATCCTATGTATACAGTACCTGAAATGTTCAGGTACTGTATAACCTATTGTGCGTTCTGTGTATGTTTGCATACCTTAATGGAAGTATATATGCACATGGGAACAATAAAGTATCATTCTCTCCACGTTTTGATGGTTATTTCAGAACAACCATATTTTTCTAGTATAATGAACACATAGTTTCTCCATCTTATACATTTGCTTAGTAATATAGCATATAAAATCATGTTTTCATCAATGTATAGTGAGGAGTGGGGCTCAGGCAGTGATGCCCAGAATGAGAATTAATGGTTTAAAATTTATCAATTGTTTAATGTTTGTATACTTAAGAAATCCGCTCACTTCAAAAGATCTCTGCTGAAGAAGCAGAATTATCATATAGGACCATTGTAATCTCTTGCCCCTTGCACTATCAAAACAGAATTTGTAAGTTTTACAATGCTTCAAACACGTGTACAGTGTATTTGACCTGAGACAAGTGTGGAAGTAAAATGAATACATAAGTCAGGAATAATGAATAATACTTGTGCCATCCAATGGACTATGATCACCGTTGACTTCCAATGTTTGTTATAGTCCCAAAATGAGTCAGCAATAGCATAGTCCGTTGGTAGACTGGACTAGTTAGACCTGTAATTCAAAACATTTTCTTAAATGCCTGGAAATAAAGAAATTAAATAAAGCAAGTACAGGATGGCTACTACCATTTATTTCCATTAAATCTATTTACATTGCCTTTGACCTTCTTTTTCATGGATTACAAGTTTTAAATAAAACTTAGAATAGTTTATTTCTCTTTATGCCTCGATTTAACTATACTGTATGTTTAAAAATTTATGTGTTTCCAACTATGATTTGATCTTAGTACTAAAGTCTAATTAAAATATCAATTAATAAATCAACCTGCATTTAAAGAAGAATATCTAGTTGTTCTCTATTATTCTCTAAAATTGCAGCCAAATTTCGCTTTTCTTTTTTCTTTTTCATATACATACCATAATTATTTTTTTATTGTTAATGGCACTACAGAGCAAATTAAAATTAGATATTAATACTTTTCACAATTTTCATAATTGGCTGAAAAGAGTAAAGCATTCAGAATAATTGTAGCAGCTTGTGTATCATTTTACTCCCTATACGAATTCTTTCACAGGAATCTTTACGCATTTGTTAACAATAGGGTCTTGAAAGTCTCTCATTAATTTTAATATTTATTAATCAACGAAAAAAGCTGGAACTAGCATTCCTTTTCTGTAGTCAGTTCCTTCTGGTATATTAACTGTTGCTAATTATTGTAATTAAACATAACTTTAAGGAAGGTTTTTAAAAAATCTCAAGTGGTATAATTTTCCTCTGAAAAAAAAAACCTCGCTTATGTCCTAACGGCATGATATTGTATATTCTTGTAACACAGTGGTAATTCTTGTTTTCTTCATAACTGGAAGTTTATTAATGAAAAGTAGGAACTTTGCATTACGTATATAGCAGATTCTCTTCAGATTTTGTAGATCTTTTATTTTTAATGTAATTTTTTTAAAATACGAAGATAAAGGGAATAATATACAGGTAGTACTAAACTTACAATCGCAATTCATCCCAAAGTTT